TTGATTATTTAAGCAGATGTTTTTATTTAAGTTATCTCAAACATTCCAAATAGAACATCATCTCGACAGCAACCTCACAACACATATCAAAACTTGAAAAAATGAAATTTAGGGGACTGTATTGGATTGAGATTTCAAAATATTTTAATGGATTGTTTTTGGACAAAAAAATTGTTGGTATTCGATTGAGATTTTAATGGATTGAAAAAAAGTCACGTGGTATTCTATTAGGATTTTAAAGGATTGTTTTAGAACCCGTCCAAATCTGTTGGTATTCAATCAGGATTTTAAACAATGGAATCACAATATCATTGTATTCAAAAATCCGACGATTTTAATGAATTTTTTATTGGTGTGGATTTCGTGAGACTTTTTAGTAAAAAATATAAATAGGATACCTCTCTTACAATCTTACCATAACCCCTAGAATTTCTTGAGATTCTTCTATTGCAATATTTTTTTCTTCCGTTGGCAGGTTGACTGCACGAAATTTGGTTCCGCCATGGGAAGATAACTAAAAACTTGTTTCTCAAAAGCCCCAAAGCAATTTAAGGTTTCAATGTATCGAGTGAAAAAAATTTGAGAAATTTTCTAAACTTTCAGTTAATGAAATCCAAAATTTCATTTTCGAATTTTTCTTAGAATATTCGATGAAAATATGCATATGATATATGGTTAGAAAACTTTCATCACGCAAAATAAAAACCCCAAGGTTTTCAAGATCAATTGCAAAAAGTTTCAAACGAAATTTTACCATGAAATTGGTTCTATATGCAAATTTTGAATTATTTTTATAATTAAAAAAATTGAGTCTTATGAGCATATATGCATAGCTTTGATATCATATGAAGCAGATAATTTTCAACCCATTACATATGTGAAAAGCTGTTGTTTAGTAATTTTGAATATTTGTTAAAAATTATATTATGTTTTACTGATTGAGAAAATTATATTAGGTTTTACCTTTTTTTATTAATTTCATTGCATTTTTTTGTTAATTTTTTATGCGAAAGATTATACTTACAACCTATTTTTGTTTACAACCTTTTACAACCATATCTTAAACGTTGATTTCCGTCAATCAACAGTTATTATTTTCGTAAATCAAACTCATTAATTAATATTTAATTTGCAATAAATAGTAACCGTTGATTGACGAAAACCAAAGATCAAGATATGATTGTAAAATGTTGTAAACAAAAATAGGTTGTAAGTGTAACTTTCCTTTTTTTGTATTGAAACTTGTAATTTTGAATGTTTGTTAAAAATTAATATGATTTTTTAAAATCTTATAAATCCATATTGTCCTTTCAAATATTATGAATTCTATTAAAATTCTTTAAACAATCTTATGAAATCTTAATTGAAAAAAAAGTCTTTTAAAAAATCTACAAAATCTCTCCAATTCTGATCAGTGTTTTAAAATCTTTAAGATTTTTTAGCTCAAAGCTCAAAAAAATCTTTTAAAATCGTAATCTAATACACCCCTCTTAATCTCTTAAAATCTTTTTAAATCTTTTAAATTTTTTTAAATCTTTTAAAATCTTTTTAAATCTATAAGATGTATTCCCCATTTCGAACGGTAATAAACTGTGTCGTGAGTCATGTCTTAGTTTCCTCATTCCTATATAAACTCATCTTTCCCTGGCAACATTCACAAGAAAAACACGCAACCTTAGATCTTTCACTCCCAAATTTTCCGAGAAAATTTTCAGCTTCCGTTCGCTCACAGCTGCTAGTTTTTCTATTCTCCCTTCTTGTTTGTTTCTTTCAGATATTTGTCTTGCGTGTTTTTTCCGAGAAAAACACGCAACCTTACATCTTTCCCCGACAGTAAATTTGGTTGAGGGGTTTGGTGGAGGTTAATCATTAGCTACCGGGCGCTCAAGCGCGCGTTATCGGGCGCTAAAGCCTCCATCTAGGCGCTTAAGCGCACGGAGGCAGAGAACATCAGGTCTTTCAGTATAAATGGGCGCTTAAGCGCGCACCAGGGCGCTCAAGCGCGCTATCCTGGGCGCTTCAGCTCCCATTTGGGACATTTTAGCGCGCAGAGGCAGAAGCATCTCCTCCTTCAGTGACTAAGGGCGCTCAAGCGCGAACCAGGGCGCTCAAGCGCGCAACCCTGGGCACTTAAGCCCCCACTCAGGGCACTCCAGCGCGAGGAGGCAGAGAGCATTGGCTCTCACAGTGGCAGCAGGGCGCTCGAGCGTGCTTGACCGCGCTGCCAGGGAATTCTCCCTCTCTCATATCTCCAGTCCAAACCTAGGGGAAAGGGCATCCCCATGACAAACCTCAATGGTTCATGCCTCTAAACTTAACCCTAGCACTTATCCAACCTATCCTCATGGATTATACTAAATTTTGGGCAGCATAACCTTTATTTTTGCAACATTTTCCACTTTGGCACTAGGTGCCTAATCAAGTTTTCCAGCTCAACAATCCAATACATAATGAGCATACATATATTGAACTTAAAGTAATCATCAATTACAAATCATATTCATTACAATTCATGAAACTTAGCTTACAAAACACTATGATCACTCCCTTGGCTCCCATCAACAAAGAGATAACCAAAGGCATGAGCATAGGCTAAGTCCATTCCAAATAAACAGTACATACATCTATCAATTGTCTATTAATTACAATCCTATACATGTGAGCTACAAAATAACATGTATAATATCAAAATACAGGATCCTCATGCATCACTACTAGTCCAAGTATGGCCACTTGCCACTGGTGGCTCCTGCAGCATCCTTACCTGAAAGGGGGTCCCCATAACACGGGGTGAGATATACGAATATATCCAGTAAATCAGGGGTCCTTGGAGTATCTCTCCACCCCACAGTTCCATATCAGTGTAATATCAATAACACTAATAATACAGTAAATACATATCTATGCAAAGTGCAATAACATCTCCAGGAGAAATCCCTCGAGCTCTCAAGTTGTCCTAAGGAAACTCAGATGCAAATAGTCCTACTGGCCAGCTAAACTACCAAGTATGATTTACGCATCGTCATGCAACATACCAACATAGGGAAACACCATCCTATGCCACACCAAATGCATACACATACGTATAACAAAGCATTACACTATTTCATTGCATTTATATACACTATAACTACCACTACCCTTTCAGGGCTTGGTGGAACAATCAAGGGAATTACACCCAAGGTCCGAAGGCTTACCTCAAGCTTCAGTTCAACCTTTGTTCACCACCAACAGGTTCTACAACTAGTCAACTTTGTATTCAAGCTATAACTTGCAAAGTACACACCTACACCAAGGTTGAATGCAATCAACATATTGCATTCAAGAACATCATATATTCATCAACCAAGGCATGAACTTACCTATGCCAAAGAGCTAATCAAGCTCTATTGCTTGCTCCAACGGTTGGTCAATTAAGGTTGGTCCAATTGCCTCAATCCTAGACAACACAAGGATACAATCAACAACCAACCAAGCAATGGTTCAACAATGCAAGAATTTCCACAATTCCAAGCATGGCATTTTTGCAATTCTCAAAGTATTAATCAATGACTATCTAAGCTCATTTTCACCGATTAAATTCCATTACTAACATTTCTCATAACATACGCTAAGCTCCAATACTCCTAGAACATAGCCAATCTATCAACATTTCATAAAAACCCTAAAACACTATTCATTAAACCCTAAATCATGCAATTTCAATGGATTATGAGGTTCAAGGAGTAGAATCTTACCACCAATGGTCACACAACCAAAGGGTGTGGATCCCCTAAGCTCTCCTTGAAGGGAATGTCTTCAAACACCTCTAAAAGCTATGTGGGTCAGATTTTGGGAGGAAGAAATCTCCCCCCACAATGCTTCCCACACAAAACCAAGGTAGGGTTATCAAAGAGGAGGTGATTTAGAGTAGTTTAGGCTTTAGAATCATCAAATTTGGTTGAGGATTGCACTCCCTCCTCCCTTCTTCTCCTTCACTCCTTTTCTCTCTTTTCCTTTCTTCCTTTCCTCTTCTCTGTTTGCTCGACGGGTTGGGTGGGAAAATGGGGTTCTTTCAATAGGTTAGTCACTTAACATAAGTTAAGTGGTAACAAGTGAGTATTAGTTCGTCTATCTATTCAACTCCATTAATTACCAAACTTTATCCAAATGTTTGGCATATTTTTCTAGGAATATTTCCACTTCCATTTTTATATTTCGGGAACTATTGCCTACACCCATTTACACCCCTTAATTTTTTACTGAGTATACTTTTTACCTCCAAAGTGACTCCAATTCATTTTATTAAGTCTTATACTTAATTTTACTCACTAATACATGCTTAATTATTTAATTACATGTAATTTACTAATTAATTAGGTTAGGGCTATTATAATCCAAATCCTGATGAAGATTTCTATTTGCCAAATTTCATGAGAAATGCTGTCCTTGGACACAGAATTTCTGATTTATACCATCCATCCATTCTTCTCAGAAACAGCAGAGATGATAAAATTCAAGTTACAAAAGAATGCATTCTCAAATTTTTCAAAATCGCTACGGCTTGTTGCTCCCCTTCACCTTCAGTTAGACCTAGCATAAAGCAAGTCCTCAGAAAGCTTGAAGAAATTGTACTCTAGAAGACATGCGGGGCTTGTAAGAGATTTTTCTGTGTAGTGGAAGATATTGGACACTTTGGCAGTAGTAATACTACACACATTTAATTCTTCAAGTTCATCATAAACAACGATGTGGTTGAAGATAACAACATTTATATATGATAAGTTAGAAACAAGAAGTAAATGTTCTACTTACAAAATGTGGTATTAACTACCAAATTACTGACTTTGATTTTGAGATTATGCTTGGTAAAACAAGTGAGCATGTGACATGGATAGTGACAAAAGGAATTTCTGTGATGTCACCCATTCTAATATTATTCTTGTCATAGCTTGCCTAACTTGCATAATTGCATAGTTTTGATGGGAGGTTATGAAGATTCTTTAACTATCAAGAATATGCTACCCAAGAATTTGTAGCTTGTCTCTAAGTTTTGCTGTTATGGAAAGACAGAATCTGTGATGAAAAAGACAAAAGCCGAGGATTACGTTGTAAGCCGACTGGGTGTCCAGCACCAGGAATTGAATGTCGGCTGACTTTGAGGTAGGTGGTGTTCCCAGAGATAATTGTAAGTTTATTAATCCCAAAGGTTTGGTGGTTGTGCCATTAAACCCTGCAAGTTCACCTGCCACTGGTGTTAAGTCATTAACAGTAAAACCCAAATCCTTAAGACAAGGCAAAAACAAAATGTCAGCAGAACTGCCATGATCTACAAATACGCGGTTGACGCTCCAGTTGGCAATGATTGCTTGGATGGCCAAGGGGTCGTCATGGCCAGGTAGGATGTCGCCCAACTCGTTGAAGTCCCAGATGATTTTTGGTTTGGCCTGACGTGCATCTATGTTCGTTTTGCTGATGGTTTTTCCTGCCACTGCTAGGCACTGCTTCAAGTGTCTCTTTCGGGCATTAACTGTTACTCCACCGCCACCCATCCCTCCAGAGATCATATTTATCACTCCATGTTTTATGGCTGCTGAATCTTCGTCTCTTCCGTCGCGCCTTTCTCTGTTGATCTGGTTATCACGCGCCTCGCGGATTAGGGGAGACCTTTCCCTGCGATCTCGCGCACGACGAGTTTGATACCTGGGCTGGGTGCTCCTTCTTCGATCTGGTGACCAGCTACGCTCTCGATATCGCCTGTTGTTTCCTGAGATTCGGGCATTGCTTCTCGTGTTTCTTTGACCTCTATTGTTAATGATCTCGTCGATTTCGTCCTTGAGATGCCTGCATTCCTCGATACTGTGGCCGTTACTGCGGCGGAATTTGCAGTATACAACACTTCCCTGAGATTGCTGCTGACGTCTTGGGCTATCTTTGCGTTCCTCCTTGTACTCGGTCTGAAGGACGCTATGTGTATGACGTCCAGCCATGTCTCTCCCTTGTTGGCGACTGACATACTTGGGGGGTTTGTGACTCTTTCTCCGTTCCTCAGCATGGTCACGATTTTTAGTCTCTCTGTTTTCTTGGCAGTGGCTGTCGCCTGCTCGACTTCCTTTGTATTCTTCGATTCGCATAAACTCTTGAGCTTTACGCTTGACTTCTTCAAGATCTAAAATCTCGTGACGAGCAAGCTCGTAGGCGAATGCTCCTTCACGCAATCCAGATAAAAGTATGTGCAACTGCACCTTTGGGTCTAGCCCTTGTACCTGCAGGGCCTCTTTGTCAAAACGATCTAGGAAGGACCTAAGAGTTTCCCCGGATTGCTGGCGTACTTTTTCCAAGGCATGGACAGACTTTGGTACAGGGCGACTGATGGCAAAGTGGGTCTGGAACTTTCTTGCCAGATCGTCCCAGGATGCTACACTACCTGTTGGTAAGGTGGTATACCAAGTTAACGCTCTCCCGCCCAAGAGCGTTGGGAAGGTTCTACACATCAGGAGATCTGTTTCACCATGAAGGGTCATTGCCGCTTCAAACTTTTGTATCCATTCGAATGGATCAGCATCCCCCACGTACGTAACGATATTGGATGGTCCCTTAAAGCCAAGGGGAATAGGAGTGAGGCGTAGGCTATCAGTCAGGGGTTTATTACGCCCTTAGGTGTTTGGAGGGGTTGTCAGTAAGTATGGGTTACGGGCTTGTAAATCTGGTGGAGGGCGAGGTTCATGAGGCGCCTCGACTGAGTATGAGATAGCTGGGGCTTGGCGGGCTCCAAAATGGGGTTGGCGAAGGTTCGCGACCGATCCCTGTGGTTGGGGGATGGCCACGTTATGAGGGTGGAAGGGGTATCCGTGAAACGGGTAACCATTTGGAAAAAGTGGGGGGAAAGGAGCGGCCACATTATTCAAACAAGGTCTGGGATGGTATGTTGGGACCCGATGGTCATTATATAGTGCTACGGGTTGGCTTCGCGCCGGTTGGACACGACGGGCGGTAGGGAAAGGCATTCCAGGTTGGACACCAGGGGGTGGGGGTTGGTTCTCAAACCAGTTTTCTCCTTGCATTTCTTGTATTGGAACTTGATGATTCAGGAGTGCTGCTCTAAGACCTTCCGCTGGTACCTGGAGGTCTGCAGGTTGTAGCACCGGGGGAAGGGCTTCCGCAGCTTCTCGCCCAGCTGGGATTGAGTGCATAGAAGGGGGGGAGTTGGAGTGCACAGTTTGCACGTGTCCTTCCGGAGTGACTGCCCATACTTGTTCTGCTCGCCTTGTTGTGACCACCATGTTAGTTTGAAAACGGTAAGTGTCTTGCGTATTTAGTGGTAGGAGAATGGGAATAGAAGTTTATAGTTTCCCACAGACGGCGCCAATGTACCGTTCAGTTCTGTGAGCCCACTATGTACCCTTGAGGGTAATGTTATTATATGGATTGTACCCCTAGCTGAGGTAAAGACCAGGCTAGAAGGTATTATTCCAAGAGGTAGCAAGCAGATATCAATGGCAGACAAATAGTAAGAGTATGACTTGGAAGTAAATGGGCATAATAACAGTACATAAAAGATGCTTTTCCCTTGTGCCCAAGGGTGGTATTTATAGGAGTCCTGGAGGCTGATCCGTTAGGGCTTACGTATTGGAGGTCAACGCTCCTTGGGATTCGTTGTGAGGAGCTGACACGCCTGATATATGTGGTCATTTTGTAAGACCCAATTCATTGAGTACTTGAAAATCTACATGGGCTACTTCAGGTAAGCGCATAACCTTGTGTAATACGTCGTACTTAAAATTTTCAATTTCATTATGCTTGTCAATTTCATTATGCATGCTAACAGAACATGGTGGTGATCTATCAAAGTCAACGTTTCTCAAACCTCGAGATGGCACTGAATGGAAAGTATTTTGGACTAACATAATGGTGATGTAACTTAATACACAAGTGAATGATATTTTGCACAACAAAAAAGTTATGTCATTTTTATACTGTGGAAAGAATGTGTGTTGGAATATGTATTGTTATTGTTTTATTATTTAAAAAGGAAGTAGTGCAAGAATGCTTTTAAGTTTTTTTTATGTGCAAACATTATTTTTTGTCTCTCAATGCTTAACATTTGTTTGAAGTGAACTTTAATGAAATAGGCTTTTCCTTTTTAGTATTAGAAAGCTAAATACTACTCTTTCTTTCTTCTGCTTTTTTATTTACAATTTCCTAGCTGATATTAATACTACTCACTTTTATAATCTTACATTTTGGCCATTTTGATGGCATTAGTATTCATTCATCAATTAATGTACCTTTAAATGGACTTGGAAATATTGAAATATTCATTAAGAATGGTTAGTGTTCAAGTAGTTAGGCACAGCAGATTTCGAACCTAGCTATTTGAATCATCAGCCCATATTCTTCCCACCTTAAAGAGTGGCTTTTATTTTGAATTTTATGTCTTATTATTGATCAAGGATGTTCACTTAGCAGATGGAAATGGAGAATGTTACAAATGGTCTAACATATGTAGAATATCCATTGATATAGCCAAAGGATTAGAGCATCTTCACACAGGACAAGAGAAGCCTATTATCCATGGAAACCTCAAGTTTAATAAGAACATCCTTTTGGACCGCTCCTACCAACCATACATCTCAGATTCCGGCCTCCATTTTCTGCTGCATACGACCGCGGGCCAAGAAATGCTTGAAATTTCAGCTGCTCAGGGTTATAAGGCACCTGAGCTTATCAAAATATGTTAATGAAGAGAGTGATATATATAGCCTTGGAGTAATCTTGTTGGAATTACTTTCAGGAAAGGAACCTATCAATGAGCATCCAACTCCTGATGAAGATTTCTATTTGCCAAATTTCATGAGAAATGCTGTCCTTGGACACAGAATTTCTGATTTATACCATCCATCCATTCTTCTCAGAAACAGCAGAGATGATAAAATTCAAGTTACAAAAGAATGCATTCTCAAATTTTTCAAAATCGCTACGGCTTGTTGCTCCCCTTCACCTTCAGTTAGACCTAGCATAAAGCAAGTCCTCAGAAAGCTTGAAGAAATTGTACTCTAGAAGACATGGGGGGCTTGTAAGAGATTTTTCTGTGTAGTGGAAGATATTGGACACTTTGGCAGTAGTGATACTGCACACATTTAATTCTTCAAGTTCATCATAAACAACGATGTGGTTGAAGACAACAACATTTATATATGATAAATTAGAAAAAAAGAAGTAAATGTTCTGCTTACAAAATGTGGTATTAACTACCAAATTACTGACTTTGATTTTGAGATTATGCTTGGTAAAACAAGTGAGCATGTGACATGGATAGTGACAAAAGGAATTTCTGTGATGTCACCCATTCTAATATTATTCTTGTCATAGCTTGCCTAACTTGCATAATTGCATAGTTTTGATGGGAGGTTATGAAGATTCTTTAACTATCAAGAATATGCTACCCAAGAATTTGTAGCTTGTCTCTAAGTTTTGCTGTTATGGAAAGACAGAATCTGTGATGAAAAATGCTCTTTATCAACAGTGACACTGTCAATTTCCATGTTATAGCACAAGAATTGAAGCTGCAAAAGTGCAAAGGAATCTGAATAACTATGTAGGCCAGGAATTGGGATCATTTGATCTTAGAATTTGAACCATCACTAGTATGCACTACAAGAATCTCTCTTTATTTACTTGAGATAATTTTGCAGTTCTTTATTTACTTGAGAGGATTTGAACCATCACTAGTATGCACCATCAAGTTGAGACCATAGTTTTTCGGTGGCATATTGTAATCTTCATTTGATAAAATATTAGTTTTCAGTTATGGATCTTATGGTCTAACAAACATTTTTATTCCATCAATTCCGAGGATTCTGATATTGCACGTTTATCAAATAGATAATTAAATTATCAACTACCGTTGCCATTTTTTATTTCTCATTGATAACTTTTAGTGATTGTTGGTTCTGTTTATATATATCATAACGACACTAATTTATTAATGGAAAAAAGTATCTAATGTTATTTTAGATATCTTTATCTAATGTTCATCGAAACGACGTCGTTTTGGGTTGAAAAATTAAAAAAATTAGAATAATAAAGACTATTATAACCCTGAAATAAATTAAAATTACATAAACACCATGATTTGCGCCCCAAAACGACGTCGTTTCGATGAACATTAGATAAAGTTATCTAAAGTAACTTTAGCAAAAACAAACCCTTTCTTAAATTTGTGAGTTGTTAGATACAAATAAATTAATAGGCAATATTTGGTGTAAGACTTGTTACTCTTACATCAATGTAAAAATAACATGCCATAATTTACAAAAAAAATAAAAATAACATGCCATATATATATATATATCTGGGGCAGGATCTTCTTACACCGGTGTAAGAGTAATAACTCTTACACTCAATCGTAACCGTTGATTTTCACATATCTAACAGTTATAATTAATAGTTAATTAATGAGAATAATGTAATTAATTACAATCATTTGATGTATGGAAATCAACGGTTAAGATTGAGTGTAAGAGTTATTACTCTTACACTGGTGTAAGTTGATCCTGTCTCTCTCTCTCTCTCTATATATATATATATATATATATATATATATATATGGGGCAGGATATTCTTACACCGGTGTAAGAGTTAGAAGTCTTACACTCAATCTTGACCATTGATCCACTTGTATCCAATGACTCACATTACTAAAAAGTTAGAACCCTTAGATATAAGTGGGATCAACGAACAAGATTAAGAGTGTAACTTACACTGGTGTAATATGATCCTAACCCTATATATATATATATAGAGAGAGAGAGAGGTAGGATCTTTTGACACCAGTGTCAAATTTGAAATTTGACACCTCATCTAATAGTCGTTAGATAAAAAAAGATCAACAGCTCTGATTTATAAGCATGTGATACCATTGATCTTTTTTGATCTAACGACTCTCAGATGAGGTGTCAAATTTCAAATTTGACATCGTGTCAAAGGATCCTACCTATATATATATATATATAGGATCCGAGTTGTTAGATCCTACCTCATCTGAGAGCTATTAGATCAAAAAAATCTACGAAAATTTGACACTAGTGTCAAAAGATCCTACCTCATATATATATATATATATATATATATATATATATATATTAAAATTAGATCCGGCATCTAATGTCATGTCATGTTAAATGCTGATGCTTTGTCCATGACTTCTTCAAACCATTTAATTTTTCCAAATGTAGTTGCTAATGTGACTTTCAACTTATACTATTAAGTGCTACTGTGACATTTTTAAGAGCTCATCCAAGCTAACTAATATTATACGATGTCATGTAATGGTCATATGTTATCCTCCAAACAAATATAAACTTCCATTAGGTATTGAAAAAAAAATATAGAGTATATTGTCTACATATTTAATTTATAAACTAACGTATCATCTCTAGTATTCATATATTCTATTAAGAAAAATAATGAATTACAAATATTAGTATATATACAAATGCAAGTGTGTGTTTAAGTTATATAT